TACTTGCTATACCACGAGTAGGAGCATGTCTAGTAAGCAGTGAGCAGCCTCTGGCTGCTCACTGTTAAAAAAACAAAAAAAAAACAATCAGAGAGTTATGAGTCAAATTACACAGCGTGGGAAAATTCCAAAGAGCTTTCCCACGCTGTGTAAAATGACACAGAGCACTCTGATTGGTGAATTTCAAACCAGCTAATCAGAGTGCTGTAACAGGTAAATGTAGAGACTTACCTGTCAGTCTCGTCATTTACCTGTCAGAGCACTCTGATTGGATGTCTTAAACCCACCAATCAGAGTGCTCTGAGCCTAATTGCAGGGCGGGGCAAGGTGCGTGAAGATGGATTATTATTTTTTTTGCGCTCTTTTTTTTTTTTTTTATTGCGTCGGTTATTATAGATTTTTATTGGCCTTTTTTGGGGCTGAAAAAAGAAGATTTTAGAAGAAAGAAAACATTGAATGGTAAGTTTTATTTTATTTACAGGTACTTAGTTAAAGGTTCCCCCTCTCATTATTTTTAGGGTGAGGGGGGTAGGTAGGGGGTTAATTATTTTTGGGGCGGAGGGGGTGACTAGGGGTTTGGGGACCCCTAGTCACCTGGGGGAGGTAACATTTTTTTTTAGGGCCCCCACCCGCCGCTCAGGGGTGGGGGCCCGGGGGGAGGACAATAGGCCCCCCTATTGGTATTTAGGGCCCCCACCCGCCGCTCAGGGGTGGGGGCCAGGGGGAAGGACATTAGGTCCCCCCCTTATTAGTGTTTAGGGCCCCACCCACCGCTCAGGGGTAGGGGCCAGGGGGGAGGACATTAGGTCCCCCCCCTTATTCCAATTTAGGGCCCCCACCTGCCACTCAAGGGTGGGGGCCAGGGAGAGGACATTTGGTCCCCCCCTTATTAGTATTTAGGGCCCCCACCCACCGCTCAGGGGTGGGGGCCAGGGGGGAGGACATTAGGTCCCCCCTTATTATAATTTAGGGCCCCCACGCACCACTCAGGGGTGGGGGCTAGAGGGGAGGACATTAGGTCCCCCCCTTATTCTGATTTAGGGCCCCCACCCACCGCTCAGGGGTGGGGGCCCGGGGGGAGGTCAATGGGGCCCCCCATTATTTTACATTAGGGCAATAGGTCCCCCCTTTGTTCAAAAGCGGGTGGGGGCTCGGGAGGGGGGACTTTTTTTTTTTAACAGTGAGCAGCCACAGGCTGCTCACTGTTTAATAGACATACCCCTACTCACGGTATAGCGAGTAGGGGCATAATTTACTAATACTAAGTCATCTTTACTTAGTATTAGTAAATTTGGCTGAAAGACCAATTTAGGTCTTTCAGCCTTTTAGTAGATAACTCCCTAATACCGTGGGAATTAGGGAGTTATCTACTTATTCATTCCTGTCATTACATTGACAGACTAAGTAACTTACATTTTATATGAATGTGTGTTACTTGATTGTTGTAAGCTGAATCCTGGCTGTTTGTATACTTTTTATTTAAAATTGTATACAATGCAACATTCTTCTTCTTTCGCTGGGTAAGTATATTAGTACTTAGGCAGTACTGTGCTTTGGCACTTCGGCACTTTGACACTTCGGAACTTCGGCAACTTCGGAAATTCAGTAATTTCGGGACCTCAGCAATTCGGCACTTCAGCAATTCTTCACTTCGGCAATTCGGACATTCGGAAGTACCCAAATGTCCGAATTACACGAAATTCGTACAAATTCATATTCGGACCGAAACGAATTGCACATGTCTATCAGTCCCTAAACAATAGATATAACTAACAATGCACATCTCAATATACACAAATCTGCAAGGAACGTTATTGGAAGTACTCAAGATATGAAAAATGCTCCCAGTCAATGAATTCAGTCCAAAAATGAATAGTCCTTATGTCACTAATATGGAAGTAGGAAGAAGATGAGACTGAACCATACATACCCAAGAGACACAGGTAAGCATCAAACGTTTGACTGCTAACTGTTCAATGATACTAGGGGACCGTGATTGCCATAGCCACTGCAGTACAATGGCAGCTGACAAATAGGACATGCTAAACATTAAGTAACATCTGATTTCTATACTAGACATTAAAAGCAACTATCTGTCATATCTGACTGAAAATTACTTCTGCCTCATCAATATCTCAAAGGAAATATTTTTGATTAATGACTACAATCTCTCAATACATCAATACATTTCTACATGTACTTGTTCTTAAAAGTGTCACATCTCATAAATCTTTGAAAAGCACCTATAATATGTGCTAACCTTATTTTGACGCTCCATTTTCTTTTAAATGTATATTAAAGATTTAGCAAACTATGTCACCATCCAGTTCAGTCAAAGGCACGTATTGCTTTGGAGAATTAGAAACAGAAACATTTAGCTTCAAATAATTGCTACTGTACAATACATAATTCTTATTCTCATTTTGTGTGATTGTCCATGTCTGTGCCAATATATCACAGGGTCATGTAAATTACATACTATTTAGCTGCAATTGCTATATCCATGACAAATAAGTGACTTTTTTTTTTTTTTGCAAAACCATATGAAATCCATGTTTTCTTGCTTTAAACACTTTAAGAGGTTTTTGCTCACAACGTCCATGACATTTACATGAAAATCGCACTTTTGAAATGTAGCATGAGGATGTGTCTAGTTGCGAAGGAGATGCACTCAGTAAAAGCTTTGTCTAATATGGGCTGATCTACAGAGACACTGAACTGAAATGTCTGTTATCTTATTTGTACCTTTGTGTTTGGATTTCTGGACTCCAATTCAGTAATATGGCTTCTAGTTTGTGTGAGAGCTACTTAATCTCTAAGTGCCATTACAAATCCCATATATCAAAGTCCTCCACTTTAAATACCAGCTTGTGTGGGTGGTCACTCCCTAGTTGTTGCTTCAGCACTGGTTAGTTTATAAATTTAGAAAAGTTTATATATTTAATTTGGTTATGATTTGCTGTTCCATTACCTTTCCCAGCTAAGCTCCTCATGTCGGGTCCAATGACTAATTTGTTAATGAGGGTCTAATTGTACTCTATTTCTATGGAAAACATCATTAATGGTTCATGCAACACTGTATATACTTTCTTTTGTTTATTTATTTTTTCCAGTTTGACTATTTTTTTTTTTGTATTTTATTAGAGTTTTAAGACTCAAAATACATCTGGTTTGCAGTACATAAAGAAAATAACATAATATAATATAGAGACATAAAAGTAATAACTCGATATGCAGATATCAGGTGGCACTGGTGCCATCAGCTGACTGTGTATGTCCTAGGATATGCGTCAGCCTAACTATTCACGCTAATTGCCTACCCTTTGGGTTGGGGTCGGTTGGGCCTTAGACCCTGCACACTGTCCGGTTTTCCTGAATGCGTATCCTGAATGTGGAGAAAAGGCTCCTGGTGTGGTAAGTGTCGTCAGTATGTGTGGTCCCAATGATGTCAGTTGTATTACAGAGTCTGCCCGTCTCCCTTGGGGGTCTCTGCTCCAGTCTCCTTCCCCATATCTTCCTGTCACCTATGTTCTCAGTCCCCCCAGCTGCGTGAGTTGCGCCACGATTATATAGTGTACTATGTTGCCTGGCTTTCATACGTACTCGGCCTGACTTTATTAATGGCCCTGAGTGCCCCGAATTCAGGCCGTGAGCCCTGGGACTGGACCCTGTGTGTAGACAGTAACTGTTAGTCAGGAGGTACCCAGTCACCACTAAACATTGTAGCAATAGATTATAACAAAACATCATAAAACCGAACAAAGTATAAATAGACCCGCAAGGTATGCATTTGGTATACATTAGGAGTAAATTTTTTTTAAAAATTTTTTAATGTTGTATCCTGTCTATTGTACATGTTGTCTACCTTTTCCAGTGTGTGTCTTGATTCAAGAGTACAGGTGCATCCTTTATCCCACGTAGGCCAGCAATATTTGCTTAGTAAAAGACTCACCTACACATGGAGACCGATACATTCTCTCCTTCTCTGGAGTGATAGCATTAATTTCTGGTTTCTATTTCCCCATGATGGAATAGGCTGCTAGCCAGCCTAGGTCTTTTTTGGCACTTTCCCTCTCCTGCTTGATTAATGTCCTCAACATTTGAGATATGCTTTTAATGGCAAGAGGTTTAATACTCCCCACAAGTGTAGACTTCTCATACGTGGCCTGCAATCCTCTATGGTGGAGATAGTATGTGTCCAACAGACTAATTTCTGCGTAAGGACCCCTCTGGAATGACAATCTTATTTATACTCTCAACTGTTCCACGCCTATACACCCACTAACACAAATGGTGTTTCATTTTATCCCACAAAGATTAGGTGTTTACATCTTCAAGGTAGTTTTCAGAGGTTTTATCCTTTCTTTTCTTCTGAACTGGATAGAGGCCGTGCGATGGGAGTATGCGCCTTGGTGGTCCCCCTTGGGCATGCCAATACTTTCCAGAATAACAATACAGGTAGCATAAAATTGTAACTCAGATTCACATATATCATTTGGTTTCAAGCATTTTTCATTTCAGTTTAATTTTACTAAATAAGAAAAACTAATAAAAAATATATAATTTCGATCAATTGTGTACTAATTACTCTGTTGGCTATTGATGATGGTTCACTCATTTTTATGTCTGTTTCATTAGCATTTTTAACCCAGCTTTATAAAATGCAATTCTGAAACCCCTCACCAATAAACTTTCATTTAGCGGTGCCCTGATGGATTTACACATCAAAATCTGCAATGTTAAGATGGCGTTTATTTTTATTTGTGTTTGTGAATAAACATGTTGTCTTGGACCATGGGGCTATACTCTATGTTTTTTTTGTTTTTGTTTTTTGTGTTCAGGTATAACTGTGATAGGTCATGACAGTGAGCGTCGCACTCGTGTAACGCCTTGCGAAGAAGCAGGATGCTATAGGAGGGAGCTGAAATATACTGCTAATCTCTCACAGCTCAATGCGCTCACTAAAGTATCAGAAAGCTGTGAACAGTTTGTAAGGGTAAGCACTAAGTGAAATCACAAGTAGACTAGACTCGGTACCACTAAAACTACGACTTGCATGACTAACCTTTAAATACTGTCAAAGCATTCCTCACATATAACTTTTCAGCCAAATTAATATGTTTCTCAGTCATCTGCTAAGCTCACACTCTACGATTGGCAGTGCTTTACTTCTAAATAGACGCTTTATACATACATCATTCTCTGTGGTGCTGTTACTGTTAATAATATTTCTTTACTCCGACTATTCATTTTTTACTGTACTTTTTAGAAAAAAAATATTTGTTTTTTGTAGAAATAGAAGATAGATATGGTAATAAGAAAATCAGAATATCAACACAATAACGTAGAATCAGGACAGAAACAATTATTTTACATACACAAGGTGTCATTGAGTAAATAGAAAAGATAATACGACTAGGCTTCTTTTAAAAATGTCACAAAATGATGGAAAAGAGAGGAGGATTCTGGTATCAGTTTTACTGTTTACGTTGAAACTCTCTTGGGCACCCCCAATTGTAGGAGGACAAAAAAGAGAGCAAGGCTGGAACAGTGCTACGAAAACTGAAAGACTTGTTTACCTAAAAATACTTTTTTGGTACCTTTGCATTTTTTATTGCATATTTTATATCCTTTTACTGCTATTTTAGTTATTTATTGGCTTTATTTGGCGCTACCTGTTTCCTTTGTTGCATTTGTTTAGCTTTCTCCTGGAGGGTTTGAGGGTTACCCTATTTTCAGGTGTGCAGCCTTTTTTTAAATCAGTTTCTGTAGCGCTTTTCCACCCTTGCTCTCTTTTTTACCCCCAAATGTAAGTAGTTAATCTGTTTTAGAATGTTTCAGCTTCTTACCTGGTTCCTGCTTTGGAGATTCTCTTAGTGATGGCTGTAAGTCTGGTAGTGCAGGGCTAGCTCATTGGCTGAATGTGTCAGTTGATCACTCTGAGCCTGTACACCATGCTTAGCTCAGAAAGAGAGCTTCCTACTCTCTGACAGCTGAGGGCACTTCTATCACCATAACCACTGCATCGCATTGTAGTGGTTATGGTGCTTGATGTGTTCTTTAAGAAATATGCAAGTAATTATTACATAATAATGGTGTAGTTGTATGATTTAGTTGCTAATTTTCCAATGAAATGTATTTAATAATACATTGTTGCTAAAAGCCATGTTTTTACCCCCATGAAAAGGACATTTGTAAGATGGTAAACTGGCTTACAGCTACAGTCACGCTAATGCACTTTACAATTACGCTATTGTATTTTATAGTCACAACTGTTGTTTTCTAGACTTTGCGTACAGAGCAATTTATTAATGAGGCAACAGAATACAAAAGAGGAATATTATGCCATGAATAAATATATTCCAAAGATGCAGCAATCAAAAATACAAACATATTCCTGAGGATAAATGCAAAATCTTGGTGATCAATACGAAAAAACCCTATACAAACATAGTGTAGGATTAAATGAAGTGTTAGATAGTAAATGTATATAAATGTATCCATATAGACATTGCTATGCATTTAATAGTATTCCATATTGTTTGGTATATCGTTTTAGCTTGATTGCCGCCACTTGCGTTTCCTCCAGTCTAGCTGGGGCTGGTGGGTTTCCTGGGATGGAAACAAGATGAATTACTGGGGAGGGGCTAATCCAGCCTCTGGCGGCTGTGCATGTGGAAAGTCAGGTATGTAAATACTCACTAAAATATACAGTTCTACTTTAAATACAGGGTGGCACAGAAGTAGGTAAACAGTATATGTAAAATTGCAATATAAGTTCTAAATTCTATCTGCCTTCCGCTATCCTTTCCAACTGCCACACTATTTAACTGCATGCGATGTAAAATCCACTTTGCTGTGTGTCCGTGTGTATAGTCTGCTGTGATGAATTTCACTGATTCATCTGTAGACCAATTTTTGGGCCACCGCTGATATATTATGTATTTGTAACACTACCAGTATCTCTAATCTGGTAAATTCTCCCCGAGGTGGAGGCTTCACAAGTCACCATTTGATTCTGAGCCAGCTCTGCAACATGTTTGCTTGGAAAATTACAGTCCAGTGAATCTGGTTTATCCTGGGGATTGTACTACAACATGTAGCTCTTTGGCCAGATGTAATTGAGGATATTGTTACATACTTGATTCATGTAAATGGAAGGTCTAAGTTGCAAATTGTATAGTTTTTAACAGTGCAGTTAAAAAAATATGCATTTACTTGTTTTCAAAAGAAATATTTTATAAAAGTCAAAACTTTTCTTAACTGCAAAACTTTGTTTCTGGAGCTAAGCTAGTCTGTGCAGCGTCCAAGAAAATGCATTGTGAACACATTGGCTATAATATAACTTATGAGCATTTATTCACATTTGAAAGCTATATAAACAAACATAAAAATAGCTATTTCTATGTAAAATGTCAATAATGAAAGAGATTTTTACAAATTATGCTGAAAAACCCACAATATATCACAATGATGTTGGGCCACAAAATGACCCAAGTGTGTAGGCTTTCATGGAACAATATTTGGAGGCTTGGTGTCTTATTGTGAAATACATATCTCACATAGGAGGCTGCTGGTAGGTAGCAATTCTTTATTCCAGCAATTAGCAGCACTTAATAGCTCTGAGCAGAGTGACAGAAAAGACGCCACCAACATTTGATAAAAAGACGTCACCAACACACTCCGATGTTTATTCAAATGGAACATAAGATGGAGAAAGGAAATGTCTAAGGTAGAGGTCTCAAACTCAATTTACTCTGGGGTCACTAACAAAGAATCAGGCCCCCTGCTCCCGCCCCGCTCGCAGCGTCCTTGCTTAATCCATCACCGTGAGCAGCGTCTTCTGGTACCTGTCCGAAACTTGCGGCTATCCTCGCCGCCACTGCCCAGACTGACAGTGTTTCTGACGCTGCACGCTCCGAGGCAGATTCCTTATATGTGTGCTGTACCCGGTCATGTGACCCCGCACACAGTGTTGACCTCAGAAATCACAAGAGAGGGAAGAAATATCTCACACGTGTTGTGATTAACACTAATTGGAGGTTAGCCAATCAGACACACCTTGTGTGTTTATAAGCTTACCTCCCCCTTGCCTCAGTACCCTGTTGTGGTCTTTACTTAGCCCAATAGTGTGTTGTACTTTGTCTGGATATTCTGGTTACTGATATTTGGCTTGTCTTATATTTACTCTTTCTTCTCTGCTCCCTGACCTTGGCTTGTCTCCTCGTATTTCATCTCTCTTTTTCCCTTTGACCTTGGCTTGTACTTTGATTATCCTTTTGCATAACCCGGCTATTCTAAGGACCGGTATTGCAATTCTGTCTGTTGTGTCCTGTCTGTCAGTTAGGGTTCCCTACCAATCGTGACACAAAGTCTTTATCTTCCAAAGGGGCTACAGACATGTACTATCAGACACACACATCCATATTCCCATACAGGAGCAAAAACACAGATTTGTACTCACAAACACACAGATCTATACTCTCACACAAACACATAGATCTATACTCTCACACAAACACATAGATCTGTATTCCTAGATAGTGATGTCGCGAACATAAAATTTTCGGTTCGCGAACGGCGAACGCGAACTTCCGCAAATGTTCGCGAACGGGCGAACCGGGTGAACCGCCATAGACTTCAATAGGCAGTCGAATTTTAAAACCCACAGGGACTCTTTCTGGCCACAATAGTGATGGAAAAGGATGGTGATGGGCTCTAGCTGCAGTCTGGCTCCACTCGTCTGGTGTAGAACAGGCTCTCTGGAGGCTGTTTGTGTTCTGGGAGAACGGGAAGCAGCTCCATTTTTTTAAGGCCCTTTACACAGCTCAAGGTCTGGGCCCCAGGGTCCACCTTCATGTTCTAGTTTGTTCACAGGAGTAGGGGATGTCCTGATATGTGTGTAAGGAATGCATTGTGTGAACCTGTGTTTGTATGTGTAAGGGCTGCAATGTGTGTTTCTATGTATGTACGGGATGCAGTGTGTGCGTCTGTAAGGGGTGCATTGAGTGTGTGTAAGGAATGCATTGTGTGTTTCATTGTGTGTAAGGGTTGAATTGCTTGTGTGTGTGTGTAATGCATTGTGTGTTTTTCTGTGTGCAAGGGGTGCATTGTGTGTGTGTGATGGATGTCAATCTCTCCCCCCTCCCTTGTCACTCTCTTCTCCCCCTCTCCCTCCCTCGTCACTCTCTTCTCTCCCCCCTTGTCTCTCTCTTCTCCCCCCCTTGTCCCTCTCTTCTCCCCCCTCTTGTCCCTCTCTTCTCCCCCCTCCCTTGTCACTCTCTTCTCCCCTGCGTGTCCCTCTCTTCTCCCCCCTCCCTTGTCACTCTCGTCTCCCCCGTTGTAACTCTCTTCTCCCCTCCCCACTCTCATTCCCCCTCCTAACCCCGTCAATTCCCCTCCCTGTCAATTTCTCCCCCCCACCTTGTCAATTTATTCCCCCCACCCTGCCTGTCCATTTATCCCCCCACCCTGCCTATCCATTTATCCCCCCCCCACTGTCCATTTATTCCCCCCCTCCCTGTCCATTTATTCCTCCCCCTGTCCATTTTATTTCCCCCACTCCCTGTCCATTTTATTTTCCCCCTCCTGTCCATTTTATTCCTCCCCCTGTCCATTTTATCCCCCCCTCCCCTCCCTGTCCATTTATCCCCCTCCCCTCCTGTCCATTTATTCCCCCCCCCTCCTTGTCCATTTGTTCCTCCCCTGTCCATTTATTCCCCCTCCCCTACCTCTATTGTAGCGTGGCCGAGCCCTGTATGGTCCGCGGGTACAGGGAGCTTTTGTTTCCTGTACCCGGCTGGACTAAAAGGAAGTGAACACTCAGTGTTCACTTCCTGTTAGTCCGGCCAGGTACAGGAGACAGATGCTCCCTGTACCCGCGGATCATACAGGGCTCGGCCACGCTACAGTGAGGGAGTGACAGGAGGGAGCGCTGAGCGCTTTCCTCCTGTCAGCCCCTCTCCTCAGGCTGTGCCAGGGCGGTGCGGTCCGCCCTCATGGACGCACCGCCCGGGCAAAGCTGCAGCCGCCTGAGGCTCTCTACAGAGCGCTCGGGCGGCTGCAGCATGAGGGGGGCCGGCGCTCCTGGCGGCGCCCCTTCCCAAGGGGCACCCTAGGCGGCTGCCTAGTCCGCCTTACAGGTAGCACCGGCCCTGTATGCAGTGAAAATAACGTGGATTCAACCACACGCATAGAATGAAATCAGCCCTTTTATCTGTGCTTAAATAACCCCATCGGGTGAAGTATACATATAGCTGATTACCTCCTTTGTAGTTCAGAGAAATCCACTTAAACCTAAATTTATCAACCCTTAATATCCTATAGCTATAATAGCCCAGAGGTACGCCACCCTGCAGTGGACCCTAAAAACATTCTCCAAAATCCCTCAGTAATCCTCAATGCTAATCCCTAAGACTCCTGTTAACACCTTCATGGGTGTTCTAATCTAATGCTCACTCTTAAGAAGCATAGCAGTCTCTCTCAGTCCCAATTGTCATAACCAACTAACGAAAAAATGAATTAAAATGTAAGCAATAAGAGACGGATCTAAATACCCATCATGTCCTTAAGTAGTGCTCTGTGACAAACAAAGTGAAAAAAATGAAAATTAAAAAGAAACCAACGCGCGTTTCGGTGTAGCATTTCACCTTCGTCAGGGGTAAGCTTACCTCCTGAAAGCCCGGGACTTTTAAACGAGTAACAGCCAATAAGGTGTAAGTCTCCCTCTCGTCATAGGTGATGCGTGGATTTCCCTTGCGTCATTGATGACGTGTGGTACCGGGGGAGGTGTTTCACACTGACGTCGTCCGATTGACAGGACGGACAGTTCCAATTGCCCAACCTTGGAATTGTACCTAGATGTATTGGCACATTTCATGTCCTTAACAAGTAATGAAGGATGAGGGTAGAAGCTGTGATTGTCTAAACGATCTTGAGAAGCCACCTTGTGTTCCAACTTTAATGGGCAGGAAAAATTTATACATGATCCACTTCCCCTTATATAGTGGGGAGATTATTTGACAATGTTCCAACATGCTTATTGTGATGAACAGGATATGTCCAATGTTAATGCTGTCCCTATACACTATTATGAAAAACTCTTAACCCCTTAATGACACATGACCGAAATATTCCATCATGATTCCCATCATGTATCCTAGTATTTTATATGTTAAGCTTATATTCTGTGGGCTTGGAGGTAGGTATTGCTGTTCAAATTATTTACATCATTTTTTTTATGATTGCTACATTCTATAGATGAGTGTCAATATTTACAGTGCATTCCAATATTTACATGTTATATATATATATATGTTGTTTGAGATTATGTAATGAACGGCAAATAAGAGAAGCCCTCGTTCAAACCCTTTGGGGACAGTGTTGGCAGGCGGTAAATCCAATAGCCCTCCCTCCTTCTCAGACGCTGGTCCCAATTGCCCCTTCTCTGGTCCTGTGTCACCAGTTTTATGCCCTAAAATTTAAGAACGGTGGGATCTCCCTGATGGAAGTTCTTAACATGTCTAGAGATTGGAGTCTCTATATGTCTTACAGTTTTTACAGAATTTACATGTTCCAATATTCTTCTCCTGAAGGGACGAAATGTTTTCCCCACGTATAACATCATGCATTGACAGGTAATCAGATAGACCAAGCCCTTGGAGCTGCAGTTAAAGAAGGAAGGAGTGTCGAAAGTCAGACTGTTTGAGCTATTTTTTAAGATTTTGGACTCTTTTTTTTTTTTATGAAATCACAGGCTTTGCATCTACCACACCTGTATGTTCCTTTCAGACTATTTGATAACCAGTGGGTAGGTGATGTGGTTCTCTGGAAATGACTGTGTACAAGGGAATCCTTAAGATTCCTTCATCTTCTGGTTACTAAGCATGCCTGTGACGGTATGATGTCTTGTAATTGTTCATCCTGTTTTAGCAGGGGCCAGAACCTGTTCATAATGGATCTAACTCGATCCCAACCTGCGTCAAATGTGGCGACGCATCTAAATTGTTTCTGTTCCGACCCCTTCATTTTCAGGGAAGATGAATTATCTTAACATAGAAACATAGAAACATAGAATGTGACGGCAGATAAGAACCATTCGGCCCATCTAGTCTGCCCAATTTTCTAAATACTTTCATTAGTCCCTAGTCTTATCTTATAGTTAGGATAGCCTTATGCCTATCCCACGCATGCTTAAACTCCTTTACTGTGTTAACCTCTACCACTTCAGCTGGAAGGCTATTCCATGCATCCACTACCCTCTCAGTAAAGTAATACTTCCTGATATTATTTTTAAACCTTTGTCCCTCTAATTTAAGACTATGTCCTCTTGTTGTGGTAGTTTTCTTCTTTTAAATATAGTCTCCTCCTTTACTGTGTTGATTCCCTTTATGTATTTAAATGTTTCTATCATATCCCCCCTGTCTCGTCTTTCCTCCAAACTATACATGTTAAGATCCTTTAACCTTTCCTGGTAAGTTTTATCCATGAACCAGTTTAGTAGCCCTTCTCTGAACCCTCTCTAAGGTATCAATATCCTTTTGAAGATACGGTCTCCAGTACTGTGTACAATACTCCAAGTGAGGTCTCACCAGTGTTCTGTACAATGGCATGAGCATTTCCCTCTTTCTACTGCTAATACCTCTCCCTATACAACCAAGCATTCTGCTAGCATTTCCTGCTGCTCTATTACATTGTATGCCTACCTTTAAGTCATCAGAAATAATCACCCCTAAATCGCTGTTGAGGTTAGGACTCTATCAAATATTCTGTACTCTGCCCTTGGGTTTTTACGTCCAAGATGCATTATCTTGCACTTATCCACATTAAATGTCAGTTGCCACAATTCTGACCATTTTTCTAGTTTACCTAAATCATTTGTCATTTGGCTTATCCCTCCTGGAACATCAACCCTGTTGCATATCTTAGTATCATCAGCAAATAGACATACCTTACCATCAAGACCTTCTGCAATATCACTAATAAAAATATTAAAGAGAATGGGTCCAAGTACAGATCCCTGAGGTACCCCACTGGTGACAAGTCCAAGCTTCGAATATATTCCATTAACTACAACTCTTCCCTTATAAGGTTCTCTCTCTCGGTAAGGAGAGCTCTGTGATAAGCTCTCTTAAGACATTTGTTTTGATATCCTTTCGATCTAAACATCAACCGCAGCTCTCTAGCCTTAGACTTAAAGTCCTCAATGTCTGAACAGTTACGCGTAAGGCGTAGATATTGGCCAATGGGAATTCCCTTTTTCTGTGGAGTTGGGTGGTGACTCCTCCAATTTAGTAGACTATTGGTAGCCGTACATTTCCTAACTAGGTTGGTCTTTATTGTTCCATCGGAATTCGGAGACAAGGTGAGGTCCAGGAAGGTAAGGGAAGAGGTACCCACTTCAGCTGTGAATTTTAGGTTTAAGTCATTGATGCTGAGTGTCTGTACAAAGTGGGAGAATTGTTCCCCTGTGCCTGTCCATATAATCACAATGTCAGCTATGTACCTTTTCCAATAGTAGATGCATCGGGTGAAGACATTATTGGGATCCGCAAAAACTATTTGCTCCTCCCACCACCCCAGGTGCAGGTTGGCATAAGAGGGCACGCAAGATGTCCCCATCGCCGTTCCCTGCACCTGGTGGTAATACACTCCATCGAACAGAAAACAATTATGTGTCAAGACAAACCTGAGAAGATCTATTGTAAAGTCACTATGTCTGTCTAGGTGGGTGCCTCTTTTCCTTAAAAAATGGCTAGAATGTTTAAGACCCAAGGAATGAGGAATTGAGCTGTAAAGGGACTCAACGTCCAGGCTGCAAAGTATGGATTGATCAGGCATGGAAATGTATGGCTACCAATAGTCTACTAAATTGGAGGAGTCACCATCCAACTCCACAGAAAAAGGGAATTCCCATTGGCCAATATCTACGCCTTAGGTGTAACTGTTCAGACATTGAGGACTTTAAGTCTAAGGCTAGAGAGCTGCGGTTGATGTTTAGATCGAAAGGATATCCAAACAAATGTTTTAAGAGAGCTTATCACAGAGCTCTCCTTACCGAGAGAGAGAACCTTATAAGGGAAGATAATTCATCTTCCCTGAAAATGAAGGGGTTGGAACAGAAACAACTTAGATGCATCGCCACATTTGACGCAGGTTGGGATCGAGTTAGATCCATTATGAACAGGTCCTGGCCCCTGCTAAAACAGGATGAACAATTAAAAGACATCATACCGCCACAGGCATGCTTAGTAGCCAGACGAGGAAGGAATCTTAAGGATTCAGAGAACAACAGCACCTACCCACTGGTTATCAAATAGTCTGAAAGGAACCTATCTACCTCCAAGCCCACAGAATATAAGCTTAACCTATAAAATACTAGGATACTAATTATTGATGATACTGTCCCCTTAAAAGTTTTTCATAATAGTGTATAGGGACAGCATTAACATTGGACATATCCTGTTCATCACAATAGGCATGTTGGAACATTGTCAAATAATCTCCCCACTATATAAGGGGAAGTGGATCATGTCACAATATGTATAAATTTATCCTGCCCATTAAAGTTGGAACACAAGGTGGCTTCTCGAGATCGTTTAGACAATCACAGCTTCTACCCTCATCCTTCATTACTTGTTAAGGACATGAAATGTACCAATACATCTATGGCTATGCTTCTTAAGAGTGAGCATTAGCTTAGAACACCCATGAAGGTGTTAACAGGAGTCTTAGGGATTAGCATTGAGGATTACTGAGGGATTTTGGAGAATGTTTTTAGGGTCCACTGCAGGGTGGCGTACCTCTGGGCTGTTATAGCTATAGGATATTAAGGGTTGCTAAGTTTAAGTGGATTTCTCTGAACCACACAGGAGGTAACCAGCTATCTGTATACTTCACCCGATGGGGTTATTTAAGCACAGATAAAAGGGCTGATTTCATTATATGCGTGTGATTGAATCCACGTTATTTTCACTGCATACAAGCCCTAGCTACATAGAGACCAGATGTAGCATCATTACAAATAGGCACCATACTGCTACTTTGTTACCAACCATCTCAGGGTTTATGTCCCTCTCTGAGTCGGTATAGCCACAGAACATTAAGGGTTATTAAACCCCAGTGGATTCCTTTAAACTGCACAAATTAATCAGCCTCATGCACATTCTACCCAATGGGGTTATTCAAACATAGATAAGAAGGCTGACTCTACTCCACATGTATGTAGGTCCCAGTGTACGATCCCTTCACTTGTTTACTTTTTGCGCTCACTATTTTATTTAAAAAGTTACTTTCGCAATCCTCTCTTTACATATATCCCTGTAGGTTTAGAGGGTAACTCCGCGAGCTTAACTCCACAGACAGCATTTTTTTCTAAGTATATATTACATTGCATTTGATCACTAAGGCGATTATCAAGTGGACAATTTATCGCCATATCATTATATTCGCTATACTGAGACTAATGCAACATTATTAAAAGCAGACTTAATATTGCTAGTCTACTATTAGCCAGTCTAAGGTTTGTGCTCTTCTTTTTTCACAGTGTACGTTTGAAGTTGAAGGACTAATAAAGCTATATATGCACATTTTTTGTTTAAAGGGCACATGTGATGATAATTGGAACAATTGTTTTTTATTTTCCCTCGTGTATATACCTACCATAACCAAGTTAGAGACAACTGTCATCATTCCAATAGTGTTTTTCACGTACTACTGTTACCAGCATTAAGATCTCCCTAGCTGGAGAATACTTTTCTTCTTTTTTTCAGTCTTCATTTTTCGGGTTCAAGCCCTCAGGTGGAGCTGGTACCAACATCTGACCAGATTGCCCTGTTCCTGTCTTCCCTCTCTTTGACAGAGGATATAGAGACAGAGCATTAATTTTGTTTCAACTATATAGTTTTAGTGCTTAGACTCTCCCTAAAAATATAAAAAAAATATTTGGAGAGCATCTTCTAGGGAACACGGGTTTGTCTTTCAATTGCATTGATTTGAATGCAACTGTGGATTCCTTTTAAAATTAAAAACATGCAGGGTTGTTCAATAAACTACAAATCGTAGCAAGTAAAATCTAGAAGGAAAAATTGAGGCTAAAATAGTCTTAAACTGTGATTGTAGCTTAGTGGAATTTTTTTTCTAGATTTGCTATTTTAAATATTTTTTTCCCATTCTCATTATAAATTGCTATAATTTGGTGTTTTATAAATAATCTTAATATTAAAAAATAATAAATTATTTAGGAAACTAAAAATATGAATTTCCTTATAAATATGCACAGTCTGCCAGGGGGCAGAAAAGGATACTATAGGTGAGTGAAAACAAAGGTTTACAGATCACAAAATTCTGAAAGGCTTATTTTTGTTTCAACTTGTCATTATTCGTCATTTGTAAATCTGCATTTTATGCTTGTGTTCCTGTGTGCTTTAAAATGTTCATTCCACCTCTAGAATTCACTAGGTGGCAGTATAGGACTATTAATATTTTTTCCATTTATTCATTGATGGTTTTTCTCCCATATGCTTAGGTTCAAATAATATATGCTAAATTTATAGCTGAAAGGCCAGGCAAAACTTCAGGACAAAAATAATACTCTGATTTTACTCAGTTTATAACTGTTTACACAAGTGGTCAAAAATGCCTGACAACTGAGGCACTCCCCCTGTAGAAAATCCTGACAATTTGCAAATGGCCATTTCCTTGAAATTTCCCATTGGGCCTCTCTTGTTCTACTGCAATAGGTAATTGGCCCCTCAGCCCAGGGCCAGATTAAGAGCCCAGTGGGGCCGGTGCTGACAGTTATGATGGGGCCTAATTACAGAATCTTATCGACCAAAAACACTAAAACAGTCCTACCTCTCAAGCGTCATGTATCTGATGGAGTTGGTGTTGGAGGGAAACTCAAAGGATGCAGCTATAAAAAAACACATATTCTATGCTAATCTCTTTATCTAATTTATGGTTTCATCTTTCAAGTAAATCCATACCCCCTAACAGCAGTGTCCAGTGAAGCAGGAAGCCAATGGGAAGGGTAAAAGAGTAGGCCACTCATGCGAATCACGTGACCAGAACTGCCAAAAGGGGCGAACATGCCCAAAAAGGGGGTATGTCTGTCCAAAGAATTGGAAGGCCAGCCTGGAATCAGTGTCCCTATGTATCACAGTGTCCATGCCCCCATTTCGCCCAATCCCCTAGTCTCCCAGTGTCTGTGTCCCCATTTCTCCCAGTGTCCCCATGTCTCAGTGTGTCCCGTGTCACTAGGATACTAGGGGACACTGAGAGACATGGGGACACTAAGAGACACAGGGACACTGAGACACTTGGGGACACTGGGAGACATGGGGGCACTGAGATACTTGGGGACACTGGGAGACATGGGGGCACTTGTGGATACAGACATGGGGACACTGAGAGACATGGAGACACTGGGAGACATGGGAACACTGAGACATTTGGGGACACTGGGAGAAATGGGGTCACAGACACTAGTGACACAGAGACATGGGGATACAGACATTTGGGGAAACTAAGACACTAGGGACACTGAGAGACATGGGGACACTGGGAGACATGGGGACACTGGCTGGGAGGCATGGGGACACAGACACTTGGGGACACTGGGAGACATGGGGGCACTTGTGGACATAGACATGGGGACACTGGGAGAAATGGGTCACAGACACTAGGGACACCGAGACATGGGGATACAGACATTTGGGGAAAATAAGACACTAGGGACACTGAGAGACATGGGGACACTAGGAGACATGGGGACACTGCGACACTAGGGACACTGGCTGGGAGGCATGGGGAGACATGGTGACACTTGTGGACATAGACATGGGGACATTGGGAGATATGGGGACACAGAGACATGGGGACACAGACCTGGGAGACATGGGGACACATACACTACGGACACTGGCTGGGAGACATAGGGACACTGGGAGACATGGGGACACTGAGACACTGGCTGGGAGACATGGGGACCACAGACATTTGGGGACATTGGGAGACATGGGGACACAGACATTTGGGGACACTGGGAGACATGGGGACACTGGGAGCCATGGGGACACTGAAACACTAGGGACACTGGCTGGGAGACATGGGGACAGCGTCAGTGTCCCCATGTCTCACAATGTCCCCATGTCTCACAATGTCCCCATGTGTCTCAGTGTCCCCATGCGTCTCAGTGTCCCCACGTCTCCCAGTGTCCCCTAGTGTCTCAGTGTTCCCATGTCTCCCTGCTGCCTTTCCCCTCATCCCTCACTTCCCTGAGCTGTAGTCTGTCTCTGCAGGCTGGGAGCTGTTGTCTGAACTCTCTGTGCTGTGTAGCTGCTCCCCTGTGTATTAGTGAGTAGAGAGAGGCAGGAAGGGATATGCTGTAACTTACTACCCCTACTGGCTGGTGCTGGTTTTGCAGAGTAATCTCCGTTTATACTGAGAAATATATTTGCATTTGTATTGCCGGTATTGCTGCAATACCATCATGGCCAGGCAGCCTCAAATATTGGCTGTGCCTTAAAATACTAGTCAGGTGGCAAACCTAAGAGTAGTGTAAAAAAAAAAAAAAAGTAAAATAAATAAATAAATATATATATATATATATATATATATATATTATTTTTTTAAATGGGCCTGGGCCTGGAGCTGCAGCTCCATCAGCCCCTATGTTAATCCGGCCCTGCCTCAGACTCCCCCTAATGCTGCCACTCAAAATACACTGCCAGCTCCCTCCTGTTCATAATTTGGGGTGTGTATAGCCTGCTAGGGGGCTCTGGTCCATACAGGGCCATCTTTAACGCGGGGCAAACGGGGCAGCTGTCCCTGCTGGGGGCCCAAGACACTAAAGACACTAAAAAACCCATTTCCCCTCTGCCCGCAAACTATGGGGGCCCTTTGGGTGGCCCATGCACTTAGGGCCACCCAGTGGGCCTGTGTCAGCAGGGGCCCGGTCGGGCGCTGTGGCGCTTTAACAGTGCGACCAGGCCCTTGCTTTTCGGCAGCACTGGGAGGAAGTGACAGCCGCGCGTCACTTCCTCCCACAGAAACAGGAGCCGCGCGGGAGGAAGGAGCTGTTCCGGAGGGGGCCAGGCCGGGAGAGCTTAACTCCCAGCCACCCCAGCCAGCCCACTGAACCCCAGGGAAGCCACCCTCCAGAAAAAGGTAAGAAACTGGAGGGTGGTTATCAAATTTTGCATGAGTGGAAGTCTGTCAGTGTATCTGTATGTCTGTGTGTGTGAGAGTCCATCAGTGTCTGTGTGGTTCAGTGTGTCTGTATGTGTGTATGTCTGTCAGTGTTGCAGTATGTCTGTGTGTGAGTCTGTCAGTGTCTGTGTGGTTCAGTGTGTATGTGTGTTTCAGCATGTCTGTCTTGTCTGTCTGTCTGTGTGCCAGAATGTCTGTCTGTGTGCCAGAATGTTTGTCTGTGTGTCAGTATGTCTGTGTCTGTGAGTCTGTCAGTGTCTGTGTGGTTCAGTATGTATGTGTGTTTCAGTATGGCTGTCTGTGAGTATCAAAATGTCTGTATGTGTGTATATCTGTCAGTGTCTGTGTCTATGTGTGTTTCAGTCTGTCTGTGTGTGTGTGCCAGAATGTGTGTATGTCTGTCAGTGTGTCAGTATGTCTATGTGTGAGTCTGTCAGTGTGGTTCTGTATGTCTGTTTTTCTCAATATGTCTGTCAATGTCTGTGTGTATGTGTGTTTCAGTATGTCCGTCTGTCTGTGTGTATATGTGCCAGTATGTCTGTCAGTGTATCTGTATGTCTGTGTGTGTGAGAGTCCATCAGTGTCTGTGTGGTTCAGTATGTCTTTGTGTATGTGTGTTTCAGTATGGTTGTCTGTGTGTGAGTCTGTGTCAGTACGTCTGTCAGGATGTGTCTCTGTATCTGTATGTTGTCCATTTGTATTTGTGTGTGTATCTGTATGCGTCAGTGTTTGTATCTGTATATCTGCATGTGTGTCAGGTTGTGTATTTGTGTGTCTGTCTGTGTGTCAGTGTGTGTGTCGGTGTATCTATAAGTAGTCAGTGTGTGTACCTTTGTATCTGCATGTATGTCAGTGTTTGTATCTGTTTGTGTGTCTATGTGTGTGTCAGTGTATCTATATGTAGTCTGTGTGTATCTGTATGTTCTTGTGTCTATCTATATGTGGTCAGTGTGTATCTGCATGTGTGTCAGGTAGTGTATTTGTGTGTATCTAGACGTAGTCAGGGGGCCCAAGTAAATGCTCGCCTAGGGTCCAATCTAAATTAAAGATGGCCCTGGGTCCATATGTGCATTGCTTGTATAGCTATGTGATGACACTCCAGCCCCTATCCCACCACACTAAAACCACAACCCCCACAATACATTCCTATTCCCCACACTAAAGCCACAATCCCTTACAATATTGCCCCTTCCCCCTACTAAAGAATCTATCCCCCACAAAATGTCCCCTATCCCACAACATCAAAGCCACAATCTTCCACAATACTGCCCCTATTCCCCAGAATACTATATACATCACAATAAACCCCTAATTCCCCACAAGAGTGCTCTTTTCCCACAACAATAGTGCCCCTCTCCCCCACAATACATTTATATGCATTATAAAGCCCTTATTTGCCCACAATACTGCCTTTATGTCCCAACAATAGTACCAATATCCCACACAATACTGTCCATATCCCCCACACTTATACACTTCTTAATGTGCCCTACATTACAGCCTTTATCCTCTCACACTAAAGCCCCAATCCTTCCCACAATATAGAACATATATTCCCCCCCCCCATACATTTGCCCTACTTGGGGATACTTCCCTAAGCATGACAAGCCTGTACCATGACACCAGCTCACTGGCTTCATTGTTAGTATGCTGGTGTCCAAACCTACACTTCCTAACTTGTGCTAGCAGCAATGGCCTGGGAGGCAACAATTCTTCAGCACAGGAGTCTATGCCAAAGAACCGAGTGACATGTGAGAGAAAAACCTCTTTGCGCGACATCAATGTAACCTGGCAACCAAGGAGAGTGGACTGGAATGCACATGCGTGAACAATGACGGCTTCACTGTACTACTCAGCATGCTGTGTGGCCGTTGCATTAAAAATGACCGAGCTAGTAGAGCAACATATTTGTATCAATTTTTGCGTTAAGCTTGAACATTCTTCCATGGAAACTAATAGGATGATTCAGAAGGCTTTCTGGGACGATGCATGAGTGCAGCACAAATAAAAGTGTGACACAAACACTTCAAAGATGGTTGAGAATCTCTTGAAAGGCGCCCTACCACTACTGGCTTTTACCAAAACTAAAATCATCTTTGAAAGGGAAAAGATTTCAGACCGCTGATGACATTCAGATAAGCTGAGGGCGATTCCAATAAATGATTTTGCAGAGTGTTTTGAACAGTGGAAGAGACACTGGGAGAACTGTGTGTGGTCTCAAGGTGCCTACTTTGAAGGGGACGGAGGCATCATGTACAATGTTTCTTGTAAATTGTATCTTCTTCAATAAATGTCTCTTTTTCATATAACATGGCTCGATACTAATGCATATATTAAAGGATCACCTGAGGGACCTGGCACCCAGACCACTTCATTGAGCTGAAGTGGTCTGGGTGACTATAGTGTCCCTTTAATAATGCATATATAAATATATCTATTTTTTTACATTTGTGTATTACTAATATATGCCTATAATATTTACACACATTCATATACATGTACATATATATATACATGTTATGAGCATTTCGTGTTTTGTTTTGTTGCTAGGTGCAAACAATGGCATATCTAAAGTGAAGAGCTCACTCATAGGACTTGAAAATAAACAAGCTACCTTCCTTTGTTTGCAGTTGTGCAACAGCATACAGTAACCATTTCAGTCCCATTACCAAACTGGGCAGCATAGGAAAGCATTGGGAGGCTTTGAAGCATGCGCTGCAAAATGCCATGCTACACCAATCAGTATCCCCTCAGAGTTATGTATTGAATCAATGCATCTCTGTGGAGAATATTCAGCGCCTCCATGCAGAGCACGGAGATGCTGAAACGTTAGTGCTGCCCCAGGAAACATCTCTAGTGGGAGTCTGAGTGACTGAAAAGGCAGTGCTTACATTAAAAAGCCTACAGGGGCAGGCTGTAGACACCAGAACAACTACATTAAGCTGTATTTATTCTGGTGACTATAGTGTCCCTTCAATATATGAAGGCCATTGGACTGAAACATTGACTATATGTGAAAGCATATCTGCTTCAAATGTGGTTCTTTTGTTTATTTTGAAGCTCTCTGAGTGCTTTCCTTCACTATAAAGAACTGATTTTCAATTTTAAGTTATCTTTTGTACATAATTAGGCTGGTATACAATTTTTCAAGTGCTGCAACATAAAACATGTACATGGGGGTACTGTTACATTCGTGAGACATTGCTGAACACAAATATGTGTATTTTATTGCAGTAAAGGCTACCAGTATTATGTCATTCGCAATTAAAATGCCACACAGAATTTAGAAAATAACATTTCTTAATTCCTCACACATTTTTTAATTTTATTCATATTAAATCATGTTCCATATCTAAATTTTTTATGTGAAATGAAAGCCCGTAATCTACTAAACAAAATGATATACAATAAGTTTGGGTGCACTTAATATGAAAGAGGTAAATTATGGTTGAACAGACAAATAGCACAGATTCAGGTTTTGCTTCGTTCAGAACTTATAATTGCCTTCGTCCTTAAGAGGTTAAAATAAAAAAAGGTGATGCTAAATTTTCAAGACAATATCCTTATGATTCCCTTTTGGGAAACCGAAATATTTTCCATAAAACAGGGAAAAGATGCTGCAAACAACATTTCTGCTCGCTTCAAGGCGATGAACTGTAGGAGCTGATATATTTATTTATTTATTTATAAAATATTTTACCAGGAAAGATACATTGAGATTTCTCTCGTTTTCAATTATGTCCTGGGTCCACAAATCATTGCATTGTTACAATTAGGGTACAATAAAATACAAAAACAATATTAATACACAATATATACAACATTTAACATAGAACAGGCAGGAAATATATAATCAACCATGACACGTGCATTCTGTTTTGAGGTATGTAGAGAGAGATCTCTTAAAGGACTTTAGGCTTAGGGAAGATTTTAAATTGTGCGGGAGGTCGTTCCACAATTGCGGTGCTCTATAGGAGAAGGAGGATCGGGCCGCTTTCTTTTTGTATTGAGGTAGACTAAATAAAGTGCTTGTACTGGATCGGAGCTTATAGAAAGTGGGAACAGCTGAGAATATCAGTATATATAACAAGTGCTTTTTAAATTCAAGAGGACTGTTCCATGTAAAATTCAATATCAGTAAGGTATCCTATTCTAAGCTTTAGCCCAGTGACTTTAATTATTCCAATGACTTGAAACATATTTTGATATTAAACTAGTCGTTGGTTGATTGGCATTTCTAAACCTTTTTAGATCAGGTCAGGCCACTAGCTTGAATACCTCACTTGAATGGCAATAATTTGGATCTGCAGGTAACTGTTCTTCAAACATGTAACTACAAACACTGACAATATGTCTGTGGATATGTGCCCCTGCCCAGTCCAATGTAATTAGTTTTCTTGTTTGAGAATTGTATTGATATAAAAAGAGTAGAAAAATAAAGCCCACTTACTACAAAAAACAACTGTAGGAGGCACCAAAGCGCTAGTTACACATAATCACGATATGCATACTCTTAAAGGCATCCCAGTAGGAGAATGTTTTAAGACAAATAACAAAACCTTTAAATCAGAGGTAAAGAAACCAGGCTATGTTAACAGAAAACGAGAGGTAAGGATTCTATCGCATATAACTGTTTTGTTGTTTGAAGAGAAAATGTAAGCCGCAAAACAAATTCAACTTCATGTACACATTCATACAGGGATAGGCAACCTTCTGCACTCCAGATGTTGTGGACTGCATCCCCCATAATGCTCTTATTGCTGGCAAAGCATCATGGGAGGTGCAGTCCAAAACATCTGGAGTGCCGAAGGTTGCCTATGCCTGCAGACTGACAGCAGATATACTTACCTAAAGATCACTGCCAGCTGTAAATTAGCATGTGAAAATGGACGACACAGATAAACCACATAGCTTGGTGGTCTGCCATGAACACCATATTTGCAGTCTTTACTACTGTGTTAAGAATGGCATTATAATTACTATAGGAATGAATTTAATGTATCCAGTATTCACACTTTGACTGGTACAATGTGTAGATGTAATTAATTCCATATATATGTAGAAAACAAGTCATATTTGTTATTCAGGTGCACTTTAGGGAGTTCAGCAACCAATATGCAAAAGTTTAGGAGTGCTAGAATACATATCCAAGTGCAAAAATTATTACAAATAGGTTTAAAGGGATAATGGACTTTTATGTATGGTGTGCTGGAGAATTTTTATTTTCTTATATATTTTAATGGTGGTCGGTTGGTCACCATCAGCAGTATTTGGAAGCAGCTTTGATGCATAAGGAAACATCCAGCAAGATAATTCTTGTGCCAGAGCCATTACTTCGACACATTAATTGTTGGTCCCTTAACACAGACTAGCTGTTCATACTTCATAATGGTGCTGACGATTTATGGAGTCAAATGATGGAGAGAACTTTGTATCTATTTTAATAAAGGTTCATCTCTGTGTATTCTACAAACTTCCCAAAGGTCCCAATTTGGTGGGACATTCTCATATTTATGGTAATTTCAGCACACTGTGCCAATTAGCAGAGCACTTTAAGTACTCTCTGGGCATGTGCAGTACTGATTAAATGAAGATCCAGTCCCTTAGCTAAACCAACTAACGAACACTATAGTGATAGGACAAACCTGTAAACATGTCCCTAACTAGATTTAGGCCTCCAATGAGCAGTACAAATTAGTAAAAGAAGTTTTACTCATCTTTTTCCAAAGCCTTGTGCTACTACCTATTACTACCCACTCCACACCCACCCCAGACGTCATTGTAAAGTCATTGATTCCTTGGCAATCGGCCAATCCAATGCTCCTATTAGGAAAGCATTGAATTCAATGCTTTCACATGAGCTGCATTTAATAACATTCAATCTCCTTATGGTCACATGACAGGAAGACAGCCAGTAGACTAGACTAAGCTTTGCTGTTTCTACAAAACTGGAATGTTTTACTTGCAGGATTAAAACTACAGGACCCCTACACCCAGAGCTCTTCATTGAGATAAAGTGGTCTGGGTGAATTAAGTGGTCCTCTAAGGTATATATCAATATAAGTAGTGTACCAAACTATATGTATCGTTAAACCATCAAGTAAATGTCTATATCTATGCTCTGAGAACATCCTGGTTCTCTCCTCAGGAACATGTTCATCACCGGATAAAATCTGTAACTGTGATAGCAATGACCACGTCTGGAGGACTGATGATGGATTCCTACGTGACAAGGAAGCCCTTCCAGTGCAAGCTGTCCATTTTGGTGATACCGATGAATTTCCTGTTGAGATGGCATACCACACTATCGGGAAACTGAGATGTAGAGGTCAAGAGATATAGATGCAGTTATTGTTCTATATTATATATGTGATGTTCTATCTGTTTTTTGTTTTGTTTTGACTGTTCTTTAATTAAAGTGGAACCTTCTCTTTAAAGAAACACTATAAGCACCAAAACTAATTTATCTTAAAGAAGCAGTATCTTGCTCCTGCAGTCTCACTGCTCAACTTATCAACTTAGGAGTCAAATAATTGTTGTTTCTGTTTAGACAGCCTTAGCCACACCTCCCCTGACCGTGACTCACACAGCCTGCATTAAAAGAATGATTTAATTTTCAATCAGATCTTACCACACAGATTGTTTATTTTAGTTCTTATCTTCTGCTCTGTTAATTGAACTTTAATCGCACACATTATTATTGGCATTTATATAGCGCTTTACAGTGTTTTAAGGGAGGGAATTCAACAATAAATGAGAAACTTACCAATTATACAGGAACAATAGGTTGATGAGGACACTGTTCAGACGAGCTTCCAATCTAGAGGTGGTGGGGTAGAAAAACACAATACGAAGAGTAGCATGGGGATAGCAATCAGGTGATAGGTTGGAAAATTAGAAGAATTGGAAGGTGAGACTTAAATGGTCAATGTACCCACTAATGAAGTTGGAAAATAATTAAGTTACCCTGGGAGTTCATAGGCTATTATAAAGAGGTGAGTTTTTAGGGACTTTTTAAAAGAATGGAGACTAGGAGAGAGTTTGGTGGGGGGAGGCAGGCTGTTCCGTATCAATGGTGTTGCCCACAAGAAGTCCTGCAAGTGTGATTAAGCTGTAGGGTATAAGCAGCAGACAGAAGGTCTCCGGCAGAGCAGGGTGGTCAAGAAGGGAGATAGCTAAGAATTTGTGAAGAAATGGAGCAGAGCTTTGTAGGTAAGAGTTTTAATATTAATATTTTGAATTGCATCCTATAGGGTACTTGAAGCCAGGACAACAATTGACACATGGGTGACATATCCTACAGGACAGAAAAATCAGCTTGGCAACAGCATTCATTAGACTGTTTGTTTTATGGAGAGTCTGTCCAGGCAAGCTGGAATTATGAAATGAAAAATTGAGCAAAATATGCGATAAAGTTGTTTTGGTGCTTAGAGTGTATTTTTTTAAAGAACTCCATATTATCACTTAGACATAGGGGACCCCACCTGGAAAGTGGGATGTAATAGGGATGGAAAGAAGAGATATTATAGAGTAACAAGGATGTTAGGGAGAAAAGGGTAAAGAAGGAACTGGCACCAGTGGCGTACATACTGCGGTCGCAACTGCAACCGGGCTCGTCACTCCAAGGGGGCCCGGCCGCCCTTTGGAACCCTGTGACTGAGTGCCCACCACCATGTGTTGCGTCCCCAGCCCGCACGGCAAACCGCCAGGGCCGCACGTTCAATGGGCCCATCGGATGGCCCATGCTGTTAGGGGCATGGATCAGTTTCGCACCGGGGCCCCATGGATTGTGTGTACGCCACTGACTGGCACAAAAAAGTGGGAGAAAGGAACCAATTTAGAAAGAACATGAAGGGTCAGAAAGGAGCAGTTTTGATGTTCAGCGGGTACAGAGGTAAAACTGGATTTGAACAAATGAGCAAGGAGATGATTTGAAACAGTTGCAGCTGAAAGAGATGGTAATCTTACATGGAAAGATTTATTTTTTTGCATTGTTAATTAAATGTTGCAGTAAATTCCACATATATCAGTCAGGAATGTAGTCAGATTAAACGGTCACACAATGCACCATAACCACCTCATCTTACTGAAGTGATTATGGGGCACAGCCTTTCCTTTTAAAACTGGTTTCACTTGGAGATAAAAGCTTTGTAATTATAATAATTTCATGTTTTTACAGCTACTAATTTTCTGCATTGATTTATCACTTATAGTACGTTTCATACATTTAATTGTTTGTTTTGTATAAATATTTTAAATAGTTATTAATAAACTAAACTTTTTCTCCATAACGTGTATTTTGTACTATGTATGGAAAAGTGTATTTTATCTTTAGGAAAACTAGCAGGGTTCTCAATAACGTCCGCATGGCCCCAAACCAAGTGGGGCAGATCCATCCGGCTGCATATAAGGCTATTCAGACTGCAAAAACCAGACATTGTTCATGGAATTCATCAATGTCTGGATTTTGTTTGGTGCAGATTCCAGTTGGACTGAACGCCGCCAGACAGCTGACATCCAAACGGCTTCAATACTGGGCCCGAATTGTAAAAAATCCCAACTATTTGCCTGCAGGCAGCACAAGCAGCCAGCGGGCAAATAGTTAAAAACCATCAGCAGCGCGAGGGTTAAGTATGTGGCGGCTGGCCAGCATTTGCCAGCATTTGTCTAATAAATATCTGAACCTAGCAACTGGGCAACCATTGCTGCCCAGTCACTAGAAAAATACATAGTCCCCCCTGTGCACCCACCCATGGGCATTGGGTGGGGGCTCCTTGAACTATTTAAGGGTTGACCTATTGTCCCTTTCCCTGGCCTCCACCCATGGGCATTGGTTATTATTATTATTATTATTATTATTATGTTATTTATATAGCGCCATCAAATTCCGCAGCGCTTTACAATGGGTGGACGAACAGACATGTAGTTGTAACCAGACAAGTTGGACACACAGGAACAGAGGGGTTGAGGGACCTGCTCAATGAGCTTACATGCTAGAGGGAGTGGGGTAAAATGACACTAAAAGGTAAGGATAGTATTGACATATTGTCCCATTCCCTGGCCATCGGGTGTGGGCTATTTTAAATATTTAAAGGTTGACATATTGTCCCATTCCCTGGCCATCGGGTGTGGGCTATTTTAAATATAAGGGTGACCTATTTTCCCATTCCCTGGCTTCAACCCATGGGCGACAGGTGGGGCCCTAATTTTGTTTCAATGGCTGTCCAGTCGCTAGCCTTCATTGTTCAGTAAACATGTCTGCAGGTGGGGACATAAGGAGGTACATGACAATATAGGGTCTTTACTGACCCCCCCCCCCATTTAATTTTTATTTAACCTTTAGTGCCGTCAGTGGGTAAATATTTCTTTATATTATCATTCACTTGCAAAAAGCGATTGTGCGTCATGCTGGATGCATTCAGTTTACCTTTGGTCTTTGGCTGCCATGCGTTGTTGATGATTCTGAGATTCTGGTATTGTAAATAGGTTCCGAATGCATCAGAATAAACGTTACAGAATTGGGCTGAATTAGGCTTCTGTAAATCTGCATATTGCCAATGTGGTCATAATGTGGTAATTCTCCCCTGGTTTTTCCCACTCAGACAAAATCTGGTGTTTATTGAAATGCCTTGATAGAAATTATATTGTTTTGACAGAGCCACTCTAAGTGCAACAAATATGACATTTTACCTGCAAAGCCAAACTCTCACACAGCAATAGATTACATTTCATGTACTGCTGTGAATGTTCACTCACAAAGAAGTTATGTTGACTATATTAAGCTTTTGAATAGCTTAATATAGTCAACATCTAAACAAAAAAATATTTAGGTGATAGACCAATTTTAATGAGAATGGCTGCACTATGCTAAACTGTAAATTATGTTTTATCAAGTTTCTTTTTATTTCACATTGTATAGTATCTGTTGATGCAGTTGTGCTTTAGTTTTATATTATCCACATCAACGAAAGAGCACATTAAGAAAATAAGCAGAAAAGCTCAGTTTATACGATATTTCAAAATGTATGTTTTCAGAGTACACATCTAGGTTCCTGCAGTGATCCATCGTATTAAATACTACAGGAAAAAAAAGAAGAAAAATAAATGCTCTCTTCTTTCAAAAATCTTTAAATTCATTAATACAACAAGAACTGTGAATACTTGGACTTAACCATTAAAAACCTGCAAGGCAGGCAGATTGACTATATAGTGACAGTTTATTAGGATAGCCTTGAAATACTTTTTGTGAAATAATTGCTGTTTTCAGAAATATCATTATGTTTGTGAATAGTGTTGAAATTCTGAGCCCACACGGATCGAGAATGCTAGTGAAGTTAAAAGCCATTTATTGCACTAATGGCTTTCTAATTGCAGGTACATGTGTGCTACACTGGTCGTCATGGTTACACAAAAGGAAAAATAAGTGAAATGACAGCATATTGGAGGCAGTGAGGTTGATGAGGGATATATGTGTGGGGGTAACTGCCATTCTCTTGATTATTTTTTTTTAAACCACCTTTTAAAATGAATGCAAATGATTATTATTCCACGTTTCTAGACGTTTACACTATAGTAATATTTTCCAATTTCTATGAGTAGCGAGGCTACTGTATTACATTATTTTGTTTGTGTGTTTGGAAGACAGCAATGCCGTTAAGATACACTGACCTTTCTGTTAGTAAGTTAACTGAACACACAAATACCCATGAAATACACAATGTACAATACAGAGATAACCATGCAACAGGCAGAGCTGAGTACAATACAGAGATATCACACCCAGAACTATCTCACAAAGCCAGGATCACTGTGATGGATACAGGAGCTGCAATACCATGTCTCTGAATAACGCTCCAGCTCTCTCTGTCCAACTCAAGGTCTCTCTTATCTGATCTCATCTTCACTCTGCAGTGGTAATAGTCCGGAGTAGCTGACCAGTTTCACAGCAGCATGTGATTGATCTTATTGACAGCTATACAGACAATACCCATGGCAATCCTGCTGCCGTGGGTATAGAAATTCATGGGATAAGGGGGTTTAAAATCTTTTTACAGTACAGTTACTCTCAAAAAAAGTTTCTCTGGACCGCTGCAAATCAGGGGGAGGGTCATTGCAGTACAGAAACCTAATAAAGATACACTTTTTTTTTTTAATACACCCACAGGCAATGGTTGGAGAAAATCTAAATTTTTCAAAAAAATTTTCATCGCCACCAGGAAATTTAATCTTCATGGTCCTATACTACTTGCCTCATCCACCCACCCAATTAAAAACTTGTGGGGTACCTCCCCAAGTGGCCCTATGGATTAGCCTTCAAACACTTCAAATCCACCTTATAAACAATAATTATATTATATGCTATGGAACCATGCAGTACTAATTGTTTCACAGCAGTAGCTAAAAGTCCAGTACACTTTATTAAAGGAGCACTTTAGGATCAGGAACACAAACATGAATTCCTGACCCTATTGTGTTAAAACCCCCATCTAGCCCCCTCTGGCCTCGCTAAAGATAGTAAAACAGGGGTTCTCAACGTTAGTCCTCAGGACCCCCTACCAGTCCAGGGTTTAGGGATTACCTGGGTGTGTCTAAGGTGTTTAGAAAAAAAAAAAAAAAAAAACCTTAGAGTCAAAGGTGTTTTCCCCCCCTTTTTCTAAACACCTTAGACACACCCAGGTAATCCCCAAATCCTGGACTGGTAGGGGGTCCCGAGGACTGGGTTGAGAACCCCTGTAGTAAAATCTTACTTGTATTCAAGTCTGCAGCTGCTACCTCTTCCTCTGTTTGCCTCTGAAACGGCTTGTGTCTGCTGACATCATCAGAAGTAGTGGTCTGAGCCAATCAGTGTTTCCTTATAGGATTGGCTGAGACTGTCAAGGAGGCAGATCAGCAACAGACCAAGCACAAGCCTAACACAGCTCTGGCCAATCAGCATCTCCTCATAGAGATAAATCAAATCAATGCATATGTATAAAGGAAAGTTCAGTGTCTGCATGCAGAGGGTGGTGACACTGAATGGCAGTGCTGCTCACTCTGCAGCACTGCCCAAGGAAGCAGCTTTAGCAGCCATCTACGGAGTGGCCCGTGGAGTTATCACTAGGCTATAATGTAAACACTGCATTTTCTCTGAAAAGACAAGTGTTTACAACAAAAAGTCTAAAGGGACTGATTCTACTCACCAGAACAAATGCAATAAGCTGTAGTTGTTCTGGTGACTATAGTGCCCCTTTAAAGGGACTCCAGTGCCAGGAAAACATATCCCCCCCAACCCGCTGAAGGGGTTAAAACCCTTTCAGTGACTTACCTGAATCCAGTGCCAATCCATGCTCTCCCCCGCTGATGTCAGCCGGCGGGGGAGACCTAATGTGCATTCCTATGGGGATTCCGGCGACGCTGGAGGTTCTAATGCATAGCGTGAGGATGTCCAGCGTTGTTTAAAACACTTTTCAGGCTCTAAGAACACGGAAGTCCCTCTAGTGGCTGTCTGATAGACCGCCACTAAAGGAGGACTTAACCCTGCAAGGTAATTATTGCAGTTTATAAAATGAGAATAATAAAGAGGAGTATCCAAACCTTTGGGTCTCATTATGTTAATATGTCTAAGCAAAACAAAACAGGAAATGCTTCACATAATCTGGTAAGACTTCACTTGATTTAATCATTTTAAGGATCAATGCAGTGCAGGGCTTTAATGCCCATTAGAGAATCATGCATTAAAAGTACCAGCAGCGTTAAATCTTTGCTAGTACCAAGGAGCCCCAGGTATTATTGGATACAGGTGGGTACCTTCTGTCAGCTGGGGTCACAAACCCTAGACTGATGAGCCATGTGCAGCCACTGGAGGTGCCTCTTGGGGCAATGCTGCACAGTAGGCAGCACTACCGTTCAGCGGAGACCCTGAATTTTCTCATAGAGATGCTGATTGGCCAAAATGGCATTTGTCCCCACCCCCATCCGTGTCAATTTCAGCCAATCCAATGCTTTCCTTATGGGAATTGCTAAAAACAGCAATTCTGATGAGGTCACCAAGGAGGCGGGGCCAGAGGCAGACCCACACGGCGCTGGAAGTTTTAACCCCTTCTAAGGGGGTAAGCCACTTAAATGGTGGACTATACACTATAGGGTCAGGAATACATGTTTGAAGTGGAACTTTCATAAGCAATTGTCAGGTGCAGAAATAATACACAAGACAAAGCTGTCCCTAAGAAATGAAGAACAGATTCTGAGAGAGGAAGAAAAGATAAAACAAAATGAAAAAAGTAAGTTTGAGGAGACAGATACACTTTACATTTGACATCCTATCCTACTACCTTTAACATTTAGCACGTGCTGCATCAATTTTAAGATCTACAGGCTGGAATCCCTTATTGCATGGTTGTGTGCAGGTATTGGTTTCTTCAATCCAGCTAAGGTTACCTTGGTAGCAACTTTATATTTCGGTAGTATAAACAAATTCTGTATTCAGCAATAAAGGAAAAAAGAAAACACTGCCATCTCATTTGGAATGCTGGTCTTTATTACAGATTCTTAGTAACTTAGTGACAATACAAATCAAAAAAATTATTGTAAAATATTTAGAAAGCTTTTAAATTGTGTATAAGGCGGGGATTACATCATCCTCCAGATTACTTAACAGCGTATTTAAGAGAAATAAAAAACACCATGAGCAGATTTCACAGCTACCTTGCAAGGACATGATTTCTGAAAACAAGAAGATATGTTGTCCAACCTGAACATAAAGCACTGCATATTTGGAGAAATAGTTTTGAACATCAGAGCACTTTAATAATGACACAAACGCCTCCACTATTCACTTGTGTCAATGACAAAGACTACAAAAGCCCATTAATTTGCACATTAATGCCTTCATGTGAAGCCAGCTCAACTGTTTACAAATCAACATGGTCACCAATAGTCTGCATCAGATGAAGGCTTCGAATGGGACTTTTGGTTCCACTACCTTTATACGGTACATCTGATACATTGAAAGAATTTTCTATGAAGAGTGCTAAAGGTTAAAGCAAGGTACACTGTACAAAGCTATCAAATGCTCACAGATAACTTACTCTAAGTAATAAATAAATGTATCACAGCAGATTTAACGTCCAAGAGAGTCTTTCTTCTGAAATTCGTAATCTACAAGTATAAATATAAGAGTAATACTTTCTACCGTCTATTTGTAAGCTTCCTCAATAAAGCAGATCTTTTGAGTACAGGTGCTTGTCTTTACTTTGTGAACATGGACTGGTGGAGGGAATGGCGAACAGATGGTAGGAAACTAATTTACTGTGCAAGTTGTAATTTCCATATAATACATGAACGTGGGTTTCATAGTAACTTCAATGTCAATTTATTTCTACTAATAAAAAAAAAAAAGTATTTTTCTTCTGAGTTACTTTTCATTAACCCCTGGAAACACTATTGAATGCTTGCTGTGTTGAAATATACTCGGCGGGTAAAACGTACTTGCCTATGGTGTAGTGGATGCCACCTTAACTTAATTTTATGTTAACTAGCAAAGAAAAGCAGTTATGGCTCTCTAGCTCTCCACATTCACACCTATACGTTGGGAGTTAAAGGGACACTCTACTACCCATAAATATACATTTTTAAAATGTACTATTTAGTAAAAGAAAACATTCACACATTAAACTGCGCTTTTTTCATTATGGGTATGTCTAAAAACAGCTTGCAAAAGCGTCCCTCACCCTTTTCCCCGCAGACTAGGCTGCCCACTTACGACCTTCCAATGCAGCTCAAAGAGACGTCTTCCTAAGACAGGTGCTCTGAGCAATTGCCTGCCCCTTGAGTCTAGCTTTACGGAGGGAAACGACCAGGAAATAACAGGACTAGTTTGATTAATAGCCATGGGTTTAACAATGGTCATTTATTAAAGTAACAGTTTCTATGGAAATCTACACTTTTTATAAAATTAAGAGGAAACACTCTTTACACATACAGCACTTCAGCAAGCTGAAACAGTGTGCATATGCAATAATCGTAAAAGGATTGCTTTGGGCCAGGGATCTCAAAGTACTGCCCCATAAAAAGATTAATGGAGCCTTTGGCCACCCATCCCAGGGATATTTTCTAGTCCAGAGCACACTCATGAATGTGGGACTTTACATTTGTGGCTTCATGACTGTATGGAAATTGATGTGTGTGCCTGGTAGTATGGGAGTACCTGACGGTGGGAACACACATGCAGGTGTCTGGCAGTAGGGCTCAGCAGCCCCCATGGAGATGTTATCTTGGTCAGTGGCTTCGGGTATGTTTATTAAGAGACCAATGCTCTATTTTGCGACCATTACCCACAAATGATGTAGAGATAATGTAACTTGTCTTTACTACATATTGCACCACTGCAAACATTAAAGGACCACTATAGTGCCAGGCAAACATACTTGTTTTCCTGGCACTATAGTGCCCTGAGGGTGCCCCCACCCGGCTCTGGAAGGGGGAAAGGGGTTAAAACTTACCTTTTTCCAGCGCTGGGCGGGGAGCTCTCCTCCTCCGATCCTCCTCTTCTCCTCCCCGTCGGCTGAATGCGCATTCAGCGTTCATAGGAAAGCATTCATAATGCTTTCCTATGGAGCTCTCACTGTGAAAATCACAGTGAAGCACGCAAGCGCCTCTAGTGGCTGTCAATGAGACAGCCACTAGAGGATTAGGGGAAGGCTTAACCCATTCATAAACATAGCAGTTTCTCTGAAACTGCTATGTTTATGAAAAAATGGGTTAACCCTAGCTGGACCTGGCACCCAGACCACTTCATTAAGCTGAAGTGGTCTGGGTGCCTAGAGTGGTCCTTTAACAGTATCGGCTGGTGTGTATAGAAAAGTACTATCAATAAAGATGTGACATTTGTTCTTTAAACTACAGACGCTTGCAAACTGGTGAAGTTATGAAGACTGCACATTTTTTCCTACTGGCTTGCCCACACATACAGCTAAACATTTAATTCACTGCAATTATACTGCTCCTATCACACACATTTACAGCAGCAATATATTTATTAATACAACTATATTGTGTAGATTTGTATAATCAGGTTACATTCTACGTGAAACAACCAGAGAGAGGTAAGGTGGACAAAAAGTGTATGTATTTATGTTAGGGGAAGAAATTGAACATCCTAGCATTAAAAAAACAAACAAAAAAAAACCCACTAAAGACAAACATACTCCTGCTCAGAGTACATAATTTAAGGCTTTACAGGATACTGTTGTGCAACATTTTTTTCCCCCTCCATTTTTCTGTTACCGGGGACAACAAACACATCCTAGCCACTACTGGCTGTTGTCCATAACAACCGAATGAAATGTCAGCCAATAAAAAGGCTGGAATTTTCACCTTACTGGGCTCAAGAGTAGAACACAGTAACTCACTATACTGCTCAGAATATGTTCATGGTGAGAAAGAAAAAAACAACGGCAGTAATTGTCTTCAATTAAGCACGTGGTATGGAGGAAAATTCCATCTTCAAAATGAACAGATGCAAATTAGACTATATTTGGTGTAATTCATGTACTTTCAGCGCCAATTCATATTAAAAAACAAAAGGGTTTTCTTTCCTATGGTCACGAATGGGTTATAGAGTTGTAGGGGAGTGTTTGTAAGACCTGACTTTTTACTGGCATTAACATGGTATGTTTCATACTGATCACCTTTTACAAAGCTCCACAGTCAAAAATATCAAAAAAGTATATCTGATTTTAGAAGATTTTTTTTGTCTTACTTAAAAGAACACACGAAACACCATAACCTCTACAGTGGTATACTGTAATGGTTATGGTGCCAGAATTGCTTTGTCCCCTCTATAAGTAAACCGTTTTAGAGTTGTTTAACATGTAACCTGGGATCTGTAGGGCACTGCTCCAATTCTTCCTGTAGGTGGAAGTGAGAGCCCTAGCTTCTCTTCTGAACTTTTGTTAGCTCTCCTGATCTAAGCTATGCAGTGTAAGCAAGCTCAGTGGCTGTGAGCACCTCTAGTTCAGTGAAGGCAGAGAGCTTAGGTAATAAATCAAACAGCTCTCTGAGCTGTAGTGGTTATGGTATTTGGATTGTTCCTTTAACAACTTAAGAACTGCATGACAGTTTATGCAAGGGATATGCAACCTTTGGTACTCCAGATTTTGTGGACTACATCCCCCATAATGCTCTTACCTCCTTAATGCTGGCAAAGCATCATGGGAGGTGTAGTCCAAAACATCTGCAGTGCCAAAGGTTGCCTAACGCCATAGACAGTCATGCATTCAAGGTACCAGCAGGATTAAATCCAATCCATAATCCTTGTCAGGTCTTTGGTGTTGTATTTATACACAATGTCTATTTTGGTGGCAGTTTTCTGTATGTGTAAAATACAGTTAGAATATACCGTACTTGCTTTTACATTGAATCATACGTTAAACCAGACCTATATTTTGCCAAACTGTCAACTAAGTGGGCACCCCATCTCAAACGGATTAGAGACAGATTTTGAGGGGTATACTGGCTAGCTGCGGGTAGAGGTGAGGTCAAAATACTAAACCATAAATTAAATAGATTTTTTTTTGCCAAGGTAAAATTGTCCCACAATAGTTATTATTGAATACGCCCAAAGCTATTACAATGAGCATAGAATGAAAATGTGGTAATATCACCGATACCAAAGACATGCAGGTGGGCAGGTTTTTTGATTTTTTTTTTTTTAAAGCTCTTTTAGCCCTGCTGTGGGGAAAGGGGGAGCACTGCCCTGGGAGGGGGTATTGCTGCCGGGGCAAGTAGTGTGAGGACTGCACTACCATCAGGTGCAGCTCTCCATTACACACTCATCCGGTGCTCTCAAGAGAGTCCGTGCACAGGCACTGGATGTCCCGAGCATGCACTCGGATTTGCATAATGCTAGGAGCCCAAGGGATTAATTACATTACCTTAGCCCAGCCAGTATGTAAGGTCATCAGGCAGAGTTAAACTACATCCCAGTAATCAGGGCTGTCAGGCAAAGTTAACCGCAAGCTGAACCACCATTGCATGGTCATAGTCCCCGTCCTGTAAAAGCCAAGGAGGAGGAGAGGCTACACAGAGCATCACGACAGCCCAAACACACACAACACACTTTACATAGTTGGCAAACATGCACGCACACCACACACAGATGGCACACAACCAGCATAGGCCAAGCATAGTGACTTCTTATGGTAAAAGACCCTGTTTCCTAAAGTCTTTTTAATTAAACAAAAATACAAACTTTCATACCGGCGATGAAAAAAAAAACAAAAATACTTTTTTGTTTGTGTGTAGGGCCACCTCCCAGGATTGTCACTCAGTCAGCTAGTACACTCTCTTCCTAGATGACCATAGAAAAATGTATCTGTCATTAGCTTGCTAATCCCAGATAGAATAGATAGGCAGCACAATATTTTATTACTGCTCTACAACTTGCTGTGAAATCTTTGCACTTTTAATATTATTGTATGTCTTTTTTTTGTTTTTTAAAAGAGATATTCAGGGGAAATACAAAGTTCCTTTATTTAAAGGCACAAATGCATGTTTTCTAAAAGCTCTAGTACAGCAAAACACATTAAAAGTACCAGCCATACATACAGAGTACAATTACATATAACTTGTTACTTCATAGGAAATATCATCTATACAATGTGCCAGCCAAATTTTCCCTGTGTGGGTCATTACATTCATACTTTCAGCATACTCATAAGACTACAGTATGATGTGCAGCAGAATCCCACAACATCTATTATGTACCCAAAGGGATTGTGGGATGACCTGTGTGTCATTAAGGATAGATGCATGCTGCTATTCCACACATCATCTTGGAGATGAAGCGAAAACAATCTTCTGCTTGGTGTATTTTTAAATACAGGGCTCAAAATTTCCACTCGACACTAGCTATTGGTAAATGAAAATTCAGTCCTGGCAAGTATAAAGTCACCTATGGAGTCTCCAGGCTTGCAGTGGTTATTAAAAAGCCTGGGTGATTGTGTAGGACTTGAGGTTTTAAGTCATCTGCAGAGGATTTCAATAGCACAATTAATAGATTTTTAGAAAGAAGTATACATACATACAGGCAAACATATCAATATATGTTATGACTGAACGTTTCACTTCAAAATCAATTTTGTCACTATACCACCAAAAATAAAACAAACAAAACAAAATTGTAACTTTTTTTTTTTTTTTTTTTTTAAAGCACAACTTTCTAATTTTAAGTTACTCTGTAAAATACAAATGAAATACTATTTCCTAATCATTGTCCAACTTCACCCTGGAGTATTATCAAGATGTTTAGATTAAGACAAAGTGAATTCACAGTCCTTCACTACAGAGACATTGACAGCAAATCCACAAAAAAGAAAAATAAATTCACGTTGGAATTCTGAATAGCCTTTTTTGTTAAAATGGTTCGTACGTGTTTTCTGGTAACTTAATCAGATGGAAAATCCTTATGGTTTTGATGTTCGAAAAGCACTATAAGTCACATTATAAAGTGTAACAGGGCAGATTTCTTTTGATAAATCTACTATTTAGAAAACAGCACAACATACTAAGTTATGCACCTTTTCAAAATGAACATAAAAGAGATGCTTTGTGATGAGAACCACGTCTTGTTTTTAAGAATGAGCACAAAGGAACAATGTTTATAGAACGATTCTGTTGAAATCAGGCTCACTTTTGAGAGTCGACTTAGATGTAGCACTTTACCCCAAAATGGCTCTTTATGTTTAAACCCTTCTATTTTTTGTGTTTCTTCCGATTTATGACAGTAATATAACTAATTAGGGTTCTTTTGTTGAAAATCATGTGAGAAGTTAGGCACTGAGATTGTAAAGTATTGCAATGCAAACAAATATGTAATTTTACTGTGTGAATGGCAAATACTGAAAAGACATGAGCAAAATACTCTGCACTTCTGATAGTCAAGGCTTAGGTTCCTGGTCCCAGACGGCCTCCTGGCCACGTCGTGGAGGAATGCTTTCATACGCTGTAGCAGCTACCTAAAGCATGATGTGAATGCTTCACAGAGTTTCAAAGCCACAGAGGATGTTACCCCACTATATTCCAATTTGATTTAGTGCATTTCTCAGACTAGTCTTGGACATCAAAGTAATCTATTACTGGTTCATCACGCAATGCTGCCTGTCCACCACTGCTTCCACCATTTCTGAAAGGAAGAAAGAACACAAACAGGTTCAAAGCAATGTAGTAGGCACGGTTGAACAACATGACAACCAATTTAAAGTAATCATGTCATGACTAAATGAAATATAGACTATACAATGTATCACAAATAACATACACTATGGAAAGTTTATACATAGTATTACTACTTTTGTGCAGCACCACCATGTCTGCATTCTGCAAATCTGTGTTACACCATTTTAAGAACCACTATCGGTGCACCCTTTTTTCCTACCTAAACTGTGAGATCCTGGCTTTATGGTCAGTGCAACAGCGTCTGAGCAGAGTATAGTCACTCTGTTTCTACTGTCCTGTAGCCAGCACTAGAAGAACTGGCTAGGGATTAACCAAAGTGCATGCCAGACTGCAGGAGAAATG